GAGGGGTGACTGCAATGTTTGTGAGTGGGGAAGGGCAGGCGAAAGAGGCGAGGGCTCTTTGTCCTGGCAAAATGGGGCCGGGAGAGGGTTGTTTGTGGTGGAGAAGGGAAGAAGGAGCCTTCAAGGGCTTCCTGCCCTGATTGTGGTTGTATCTTCCTGGTCCTGGCTGGGAATCTCACGCGAGGCTCAGTGGACCCAGCAAGGCAGCCTTTCAGCCTTACTGCTCCTGACCCTGGAGCTCAGCGGGTGTTTCAGAAGCACAAGAGACAGAAACTGTCCTAGGAAGTCAAAAGGGTGGTGCTCAGAATTCATCGCTAATGAGCTCGGTTCAAAACAGATCATGGGGGAGTGAGCCCACGCGCGCACGCACACACACACACACACACACACACACACACACGACACAAGTGAGGGCAACTGATGGGAGCTCAGGGCTCTGTCCTGGCTGAGTCACTTCTGGAGGGCTGTGTCCAGTTCTGAGGAAGGCATTGACCAGCTAGTGTGTGTCAAGGAGAGCAACTGGAATGGTGGAAGCTCTGCAGACCAAGTCCTGTGATGGACGGTAGAAGGAGCTGCAGCAGCAGCAGCAGCAGTTCAGGTCTTTCTTGTGGACTTCCATGGCGACGTCCCTGGAAACCCAGTTCCTGCCTGCACCAGAGAAGGAAGTTCTCCTCTGGCCTGGAGAGGGACTCAGGCAGACACTGTTCCAAGCCCACCGGGGTCCCCCCTGGTCTAGCCCTTCATGGCTGCCTCTTGGCCCTTATGGATAGATTTAAAGAAAGAACTTTGCCCTCTTCCAGGAAGGGGAGGCTCAGCGCATGGCCCCCCTTTCCTTCCTCCCCCTCCCCACAATTGCTGTAGTTTTAGGGGCTGGGTTAGATGGGCCTGATCCAGCCGCAGGGCTCTCCTCCTGTTCAGGGTGGTGATCAGAAGCTTAAAGGGAGAGACAGAGGTGCGTTTCCAACACCGGAAGGGCTGGAGTCACACAGAAGATGGTGCAGGGCTGCTGCCTGTTGCTCCTGAGGGCAGGACTAGAACAAAAGGCAGGGCAGTCGGGGGTTTTGAATTTTCCAACTTTCAAATTCCAAAACTGAGGGATGCTAAAAAGTCGTAACATGATTTGAGAAATCAAAATATAGTGTGATTAAATTAATACAATTTCGTTTTGCCTGGTAAGTGAAATGTGTGTAACCTTGCGTAGAAATCATAAAAATGGTTGCCAAGTACTTGCAGTTACAGTATATATTAATATTTAGCATTACTTGACATTTTCAGAAGGTAGAATTAAAATTCTTTGGCTTTCCGAAAGCAGTTTGATATGCTTCTTCATCAAACATAGACTACCAAGCTAAATGTTGTTAAATCATAAATATAATAGCAGATTTTAGTTCCTCACACCCAGAAACGCATTTTAAAGTCCCCTCATGGAAGAAATTTTCACCAAAAAAAAAAGTGTCACTCCCAAAATGACAGGCCGTAGCAGGACAAGGCAGGCATCTGCTGGGTCTGTTTGGGGCTGGAGATATTTAAGCAGAGGCTGAAGGAGGGGTCAGGTGTCAGGGATGGGGCAGCTGCCTCCTGCATTGCTGCCTCTTCTGTGGGGCAGGGATTAGATGATCTCCACAACCTCTTCCGGCTTTGTAATTTCACGAGTATCTGATCCACCTCTTGTGCAGGTTTTGGAAAACTAAGAGTGGGGGGAAGCTCCATTCAGCACACGCTGGCCTTTAGACCTGGCCTCCTCCGCCCCACAGAAATCCCTTCTGCTTCCTCTGTCATTTTTTTCTGCAGCAAAACTGGCTCAAAACAATTCATTCCCTTGCAGTCAGGGGAGCCCCTGTGCGTCTGCTCCTGGCATCTTTGTGCAGAGGTTCCGGGGCCAAATAGAGAAAACCTTAAACAAACTGAAAGGGTTCCCCCCCCCCCCGCAAGGGATGCAAGAAGGTCTTCCTTAAAGGCGAGGAGCTGGGGGGAAAGTGTGCCATGATTTGATTTCCATACTTCACTGGCCGGCCGGCCTCTTGGTCTGACTGACGGGCAGCAGCTGAGTGTCCAGGGGGAGGCGGAGGCCTGGGGGCCAGAGAGACAGCAGCAGGTGGCCCTGAATGCGAGGCATGCTTGCAGGGTCAGTTGCTGCCGGGGGTGGGGATGTTTGGCTGGCTGGGAGGGGCCTCATTCATCCCCCCCCCGTGGTGCTGGGCTTGTGGCCGCAACAGGTGCCCTCGGATGAAAGGACCCCCTGTCTGCCTCGCAGCTCCCACCCATGGCTCTCTCCGTACGTTGGAGGGGGGCGAGGATGAGGTTTATATCCTTATGGTGCCGCCCATGAACACGGTGCCAGACGCAGCAACTAAGGAGAAGAGACAGGTCCCTGCCCCAAGGGGCTTGCAGTCTGAAGGCTGACAGGGCAGGGAAGTGAAGGCCAGGACTGTCAAGCCATGGAGGCCGGTTGTGGTGGGCAAGTGGCGCTGCGTGGCCAGGAGGGGTCGTGCTTCTCTTTAGTCTCCTTTGCAGTTTGGGGGGGTGGGGGTGGGGGAAGGTGGCTTTGGAGAAATTGGGTGCAAACGGCTTCAGGGGCCTGGAGGTGGAAAGGAGAAAGGAGGCCAGCATTAAAAATTATTGATACAGTTAAGAGCAGGTATTAAAAGTGTTCAAAGAGAGAAAAAGCACATGTAATTTCCCCATGTCTGCGTAGGGGTGCCTAAACTGAAAAGTTTTAAAACCGGTGCCAAGAAGAGTGCAGTGAAGGTGCACCTGCCTGACGTCAAGTGGCAGGGAGTTCCGTAGTGCAAGTGTGGCCACACTAACAGATTGGAATGAGCATTATGTGGCACCAGCTGCAGCATCAGTTCCACAGACCAAAACAGTTCATTAGAAATATAAAGGCAAGGCAGACGCAGAAGTAAACTGGTCCCAAGCTCTTTATTTGTTATCTGACTTTCACCTTGAGGTCCCAGGGTGGGTTACAAACAGTGCTATATTTCTATAAAAAAAAGAGGTGCTGGATCTCACCAAAAACGCCTCCCCCATTCTCTTATAATGGCAATGGCGCCCACCTGAGAGATGCTGGATCTGGGTTCCGGCTGAAAAAAATCCCTGGTTACAATATCCTAATAGCAGCGCCCTGAACTTGGCCTGGAAGCAAATGGGTGACCTGTGCAGGTCTCTGAGCAAAGGAGTTATGCACTGACAGGGTCTTACTCCTGTGAAGACTTCCTTGGTCTGAATCAGCTGGGGCAGCTCTTAAACTGCAGGCTCACCCACACTCTGTGGGTCAGCCATGGGGCCACCGACCTCTTCAACAGTCAGAACAACAAGGGTTGCTACTACGTCCCCATGTCCTAAAAAATAATAATAATAATCCTTATTATTATTATTAAATTTTATTATTTATACCCCGCCCTTCTTGCTGGGTTTCCCCAGCCACTCTGGGCAGCTCACAGAGTATATCAGAACATACTAAAACATCAAACATTAAAAGCTTCCCTAAACAGGGCTGCCTTGAGATGTCTTCTAAAAGTCAGATAGTTGTTTATTTCTTTGACATCTGATGGGAGGGCGTTCCACTACCGAGAAGGCCCTCTGCCTGGTTCCCTGAAACCTCACTTCTCGCAGGGAGGGAACCGCCAGAACCTCAGTGTCCATGCTGAATGATGGGTGTGGAGACTCTCCTTCAGGTATACTGGGTCAAGGACATTTAGGGCATTAAAGGTCAGCACCAACACTTTGAATTGTGCTCGGAAATGTACTAGGAGCCAATGTTGGTCTTTCAGGACCAGTATTATATGGTCTTGGCAGCCACTCAGTTACCAGTCTAGCTGCAGATTCTGGATTAGTTGTACTTTCCGGGTCACCTTCAAAGGTAGCCCCACATAGAGCACATTGCAGTAGTCCAAACGGGAAACAACCAGAGCATGCACCACTCTGGCGAGACAATCTGTGGGCAGGGTCACATCCTGCGTACCAGTTGGAGCTGGTAGACAGCCGCCCTGGACACTGTGAATGACCAGTAATGGGGCCTTGAGGTCACTGAAGAGAGCTTGATGAAGCGGTCAGCCCAGCATGTGGCAGCTGCGGGAAAAGGCAAATTCCATGCTAGGGATCAGTAGGAAAGGAATTGAAAATAAAATGCCAATACCATGAGGTCATTATAGAAATCTATGGTGAAGCCACACTTGGAATAATGTGAATAGTTCTGGTTGCCTCACCTTAAAAAGGATATTGTGGGGCTGGAAAAGTGTTCAGAAAAGGGCAGCCAGAATGACCAAAGGGGCTTGCTTTTCTTTTCTTTTTAGTTTAGGGAAAAGGCAAACAAGAAATTATAAAACTGTGCCTGGCATGGAGACAGTGGAGAGAGGGAAGTTCCCTCTCCTAACACTTGAACTTGTGAAGCTGAATGTTGGAAGATTCCGGATGGATAAAAGAAAGTCCTTTGCACAGCTCAGGGTGAAACTGTGGAACTCACTGCCTCAGGAGCCAGCCATTGCTTTAAGAGAGGATTAAATGCATGGAGGAGCAGAGGGCTGTCGTAGGCTAAGCCAAGGCTTACCCCCAGGATCAGAGACAAGGACGCTCCTGGGTAGCAGCTGATGGGAAGGGCAAGGAGGAAAGAGGCTGTGGGGCTCAGGGCCTGCTTTGGGACACCTGGTTGGTGAGATCTAGCCAGGGACCAAGCAGGTAGCCCATGTAGTCCAGCATCCTGTTCTCTCAGGGCCCAGCTGGGTAGGCTTTAGGGACGCCAGCACAACCTCTCTCGCCTCCTGCAACTGGCTTGCAGACGCATCCCGCCTCCAGCTGTGGCAGGAGATGACCTCATGTCCTGTTGACCCAGGAAAGTTGGGCCTCCCCCCCCCTTGCTGCCCTGAGCCTGGATACCTGCCCTCCCCCCCCCCGCACCAGGGGAGAGGACCTGCGCGGGCTCCGATCTGTGTGCGGCTCGGACCTCCTGGAGCAAGCGTTCATCTGTGCCTTTCCCTTCTTTCCTCTTTCCCTCCCTCCAGCGTCCTGGGATGCCATCAGGCGCTCGCATGCCCCACCAGGGGGCTCCAATGGGTCCCCCAGGCCCCCCCTACGTCGGGAGCCCTTCCGTGCGCCCCGGGATGCCCCAGGCCGTGATGGAGCCCACGCGCAAGCGGGCAGCGCCCCAGCAGGCGCAGCAGCAGCAGGCGGCGCAGCAACAAGCGCAGCAGCAGCAGCAGGCGGGGGCCGCCACGCAGAACCGGCCCAGGAGGTGAGTGGAGCAGGATCCGGGAGCCCTCCGCCCCAGGCGCGCGTGTCTAGACCTGGAACCCGCAGGCTTCCGCTCAGCAACCTGGAGGACGCAGCCTCCCTCTCCGTGGCAGCGCCTCTATCCCTCCCGGCGCCCTTTCAGGATCCGACTCGCATTGCGCAGCTGTCCTCTCGCAGCTCCGCGCAGGGGAGGAGGCCCCCTGGTGGTCGGTGGGGGGGGGATTTGTCCGACCGGATTCGCGTCTCCGCAGAGCCCTCGGCGCTCAGAGAAGCTGGCGGAGCATCGTCGCCCCCACTGTGATTTGATCTGTATGCCGCCTTTCCAGAGCTAAAACTACGCTCAAGGCGGCTCACAACATAAAAGTTTGCCTGATTGCTAAAGTAGGCATAAACAATAAAGTACACAACCAAACTGAACTGTTTCCGACATAAAGCACAATAAGATTTAAATTAATATACAAATATTAATATTGATTTACCTGTCAAGATAGGAGTTAGGGGTCTGAGGGGGCACCTGCAGCATTTCCTTCTGTCTCTTGGGGGCCACTTGGCCAGCCTTGGGCTACGGAAGGGGGTCTCCTCCTCTTGGCCTCTGTACCTGCGGCTGAGCAGCCCTGCTCTGAAGGCAGAAGGCCCCTCCCTGAGGAAAGGCCTGGCCACTTGCTTGACCTCCTCCCTGGCAATGGGGGGGTGGGAGAGTGAGTGAGCTGGACCCCACTTGGGAGAGGAGTTGGCTTGAGGGGAAGAGAGAGGGTGAGGCAGCCTGCAGCCCAACACTGGAAGACTCTCCAAGGGTCTCCGAACTTCTTGCAAACTGCAAGGTGTCAAGCAAACACATCCGCATTTATGGAGGGATGGAGTGAGTTTACTTACCTGCCTCTTTCCACAAGGAGCTGTGCCCAAAGGGGCTCACAGCATGCACCCTGAACCTCTGAAGGCAGAGCGTTGGAAATACAAAAATGCAGAGCATGGCGGTGAATTCAAAAAATGGCAAAAAGCAGCAATTTGGCAAGCGCGCAATAAATTCAACATTACAAAAAACAAAACCCCAACCCCAACAACCTAAGTGCATAAACACAAAGGAAAACAAGTGTTAAGCCATATCTGGTGACACCCTTGTGCAAAATATACAAATATATACAGTTGTGGCAGAGCATTCCTGAGGCTGCCTCTTGACCTCCACGATGCCTCATATTAAAGCCCGGGTTCAAGTCTCAGTGCTCAGTGCTCCAAAGCGCTCCAGTCAGGGCAACCTGGGGTGGGGAAAGGCCCTGGCTTCCGCCACAAGGACCCTCCTGGCCGAGGGAGGGGGTGGGCAGGTACCTCCCAGGAAACAGAGCCAGCCTCCTGAGACTCAGGGTGGGTGGGGAGACCTCCAGCAGAGGATCATTTAGCCGGTGACCTGGGCTAGTTGCCTTGGTAACGTGTGTCTTCCCTCCCCTTCAACAAACCTGCAGTGCCAAGAGGAGGAAGATGGCTGACAAGATTCTCCCACAGAGGGTGAGTTTCTTTCTTTCCCGTTTTGCTTCCTCATCAGACCCTGGTAGGCTCTCCTCCCCATCTGAAGGAAGGTCTGCTGGCTCCTTGTGGGTGACCTGGAGCCAGCACAGCAAGAACTCCTCCCTTGCGGGGGGTCAGGATGGATGACCCCTGGGGTCCCTTCCAATTGAATGATGCTAGGAGCCCACTGGTTAGGCAGGCCTTTGGCTTCTCCACTGTGAGGAGGTAGGTGTCTGTCTACCTGCCTGTCTCCCAGGTGGGAGGCCTTTCGCTCACCTGAGCACTGCCCTCCCTGTGTTCTGTGTGTGTCAAGTTAAAGGGAAGCACAAGCAAATCCTCCTTATAATCTTATTGTTTCCCTCCAGTATTTGTTGCTGTGGTTTCAATAAACATGTTCCAAAATCATTAAGTTTGTCCATGCTTCCTCCAGAATCCCTTGACAAAGTCTTGCAGTGTTAATATTTTGCAGGTCACTTAGAGGCTTTTCCCCTTTTGTATTAAGCTACCAAGAAAGCAAATAAACCTATGCATAAATGCTCCCCACCTGCATTGGGGGGGGGCATCTTCCACCTCCTTGCTTCTGGCTCTGCTTCGCCCTCTGGAAGGGAAACTCTTCCTCTGCACGAAGGAAGCTGCTTCCTCCTGAGCCTGGCCAGGGCTCCACCTGGCCCAGCTCTGACTTGCAGCAGCCCTCCAGGGTCCTTGCCCAGGCCTCTTCCCTGACATTCCCCCTGAGAGGAGAGCGGTTGAACCAGAGACCTCCTGCAAGCCAAGGGGGTCCCTCTATGACGCTCTGCTCTCTTCCCAGATCCGGGAGCTGGTGCCAGAGTCTCAGGCCTACATGGACCTGCTGGCGTTCGAGCGGAAGCTGGACCAGACCATTATGCGGAAGCGAGTGGACATCCAGGAGGCCCTGAAGAGGCCCATGAAGGTAGGAGCAGATGGACCTCTCCGATGCTGGAGAAGAGCCCGGCAGAGTCCCCTCTGATGTCGTGGACTGGCTGGATACAGAGGAATGGGGGGGGGACAGCTGGGGAACCCCCCCAGGGAAGAAGGCTCAGAGCCCAGGGAGTGGTGGTGGGGCAACAATGAATGGTCAGATGGAGAAGATTGGGAAGAGGAGGAGAAGCTGGAAGCTGACGAGGCAACAGGGTTTAGTGAGGAGGGAGAATCTGTAGCAGAGAGAAGTTCAGACTCAGAGGCAGAAGCTGAGGCAGGAGAGGAGGGCGGCCAAGAGGCAGAGATGGGTCTGGCTAGTGAAGAGTGTGGGAACGCTGAGGATAGTAGGAGAGGATATATTGATTAATATTATCCTTCCTCACTCACGCACGCAGAGCACATTCCCTTGCACATTGCAGGAAGCTGGTTGATGGATTCGTTAGAACCATTTGAGTTAAGCAATCCAGTCTGGCTTCTCCCGATTGGATTGTTCCTGGTAAATTTCCCCTTTAGTTCCCTCTTAAAAACAAAAATGACACAACAGTCTTCTTTTGAAAGTAATGATAAGGTTTACTTACATTCAGTTCACAGTATAGTCCTGAAGGCAGGCTTTGCTCTTGTAGTTACAGAGAAAAGTGTGGGCTTCATCCTCTGTGAGGGATGAACCTCACAGAGAGCCAGCAGACAGCAAAAGGGCAAAATGGAGAGAAGGGATCAAGAGAGAGGCTGAGTGACTGACCCTTTTGTAGTGTCTGCCAGGGTCACATCCATCTACCTGGTCACATGCAGGGGGAGGATGCTCCAGACCAGGTGTGACAGGAAGTCCTCCTGGCTGGAGCAACACTCCCCTGTGTGTCTGACTGCTTCAGTGACGTTACATCCCACAAAGAGGCGTGGGTGTCTCCCCCTCCTGCTGCGACAAGCTCTGCTTCCAGTCTGTCTCCCAGAACCAGGAGAGGTGTGAAGAGGGCGAAGGAGAGGCTGGCTTCATGCCACAGTCTCCAGTTGCTTGGGGAAACCCCCGGAGAGGAGGGGACTTAGACGGCTGTGGGGAGCTGGGGACTTGACAGCTGCTTCATGGGAGCAAGACTTGCCAAAGATGAGTTGCTGTGCTCATGAGGCCTGACCCACCTGTGCAGATCCTGGTTTTGCTAATGAAGAGTTAACTCCAACTTGCTCGGTGTGATTTACTGCTGGCTCGCTCCTGTCATCTGAGCAGGCAGGAAGGGGTGGGGAGGAGGCGCCTGGCCCCACTCCTCCTGAGGTGCCCCCTTGAGCAGGAGCCTCCCTCCTTCCTTGCCTCCCCCCAGCTCAGACTCTCCTCCCTCCAACAGCAAAAGAGGAAGCTGCGCCTTTACATCTCCAACACCTTCAACCCGGCCAAGTCGGACGCAGACGACTCAGATGGCAGCATCGCCTCCTGGGAGCTGCGGGTGGAAGGCAAACTGCTGGACGATGTAAGCTCTGGGCAGGCAGACTTACCTGCTTTTACATCTCTCTGTGGGGCTGGGGGAGAAGTCGGGCCGAGCCACCTGGCCAGGTGGGGCAGCTTTTGGGGAAAGCAGCTGAGGGGCAGAGGATGAGGGAAACCAGGGCTGCAAGAGGCCCCTGCTGTGGGCCTCAGTTCCCCTTGGAGAGCCAAGGCAGTTGGCACAGTGGTTCACTCCTGGAGTGAAAAAGCCAAAACGTGAGGTGCGGGGCGGAGAAGGTGAGGCCACAGTCCCATGCAGCAGTGCGTCTGTGGAGCTTGCTTGTAGCATGAGGGAGGCAGAGCCAGAAGAAGTGGGAGGAGGGGGTCCGAGAAAATGAAAATATCTGGGGAAATGTCCCAAGCCAAAGGGGGCAGACGTGATGGGGGAGAAGGAGTCCCCCAAGAGCATCTGCTGGTGGCCTTGGGACTCAGTGGGGCCTGGATGTTGTTCCCAACCCTCTCTGTGGGACTGGGAGCCACCTCTTTCCTCACCGGGGCCTCATCCCTTGCTCTTGCAGGGGGGTGGACTGGATGACCCTCAGGGTCCCTCCCAACTCTGCAGTTATTTGATTCTTGTCGGCTTAGAGTTGAGACCCTTTCGTCTCCTCGTTCCCCCTGCTCTGACATCTCTCCCTCCCGATTCCACAGCTCAGCAAGCAGAAAAGGAAGTTTTCCTCTTTCTTCAAGAGTTTGGTCATCGAACTGGACAAGGACCTGTATGGACCAGACAATCACCTGGTGGAGGTGAGTGGTGCCCTCGCTCCCAAGTAGGAAGCAGGCCCTGCCTGGGCAAGGCAGAGGGAGCTCCTCCCCGTCCCTGCATCCCATTGCTGCATCCCATCTCCCAGGTGGCCCCTCCAGTCCCACCTGTGATGCTGCCTGCAGCCATTCAGGCAGGGATGGTACCTTCTCAAGCCCTCTTAGTATGCACAGAAGAGCAGGAGGAGAGCCAGCTGGACCAGGCCAAAGTGTCCTGGCCTCCCAGTGGCTGGCCAGACGCTCCAAGTGGAAGCTCAGGATTCCCAGCCACTGCCGTTCAGAGTCATGGAGGCATCTCTCATAACTAGGAGCTCTTGGCAGCCTCCTCCTCCTCCATGGGTTTGCCCCCCTTAATGCCCTCCAAGTTGGTGGCTGCCATTGTCGCCACCTCTTGTGGGAGTGAGTTCCACAGTTTAACTCCGCTGCTTGAAGAAGCCCTTTCCTGAATCTCCCAACATCCATCTTCGTCGTCCAACACCCACAAGTTCCAGTCTCATGGAAGAGAGATAAAACCTTTCCTCTCTCCAGGCTGTTTCTCCAGGCTGTGCATAATTCCAGACATCTCTTCCACGCCACGGCTTCCTTGCATCGTCTCTAAGTTAGGAAGCCCCAAATGTTGCAACTCTTCTTCCTGGGGAGAGTTGCCCCCATCCCCTCGCGCACCTCAGTCGCCCTTTTCCAAATCTTTTCCAGCCATAGGACACCCTTTTTGAGGCGAGGGGACCAGCACTGCATGTGGCCCCACCAGAGATTTGCATAATGGCGTTATGATATTGGCGGTTTATTTCCAGTCCCTTTCCTAATGACGCCCAGCATGGGATTCACCTTTTTCCACAGCTGCTGCACACTGGGTCGAAATCTCCGTCAAGCTATCCACTCAGAACCAAGGTCTGTTTCCTGGTCAGTCCCTGCCAGTTCAGACCCCAGGACCGTATATGCGGGAAATTGAGATTTTTGTTTTTTGCCCAGACACAGATCACTTTGCCCTTGTTGGCATTGAATTGCATTTGCCCCTTTACTGCCCATTCGCCCAGTTTAGACACATCGTAAGAACTGAGGTTGCAGGATCAGGCCAATGGGGACCCGTCCAGCCTCGCATCCTCATAGCAGCCAACCAGATGCCCATTATGGGAAACTTGAGCACAAGAGCCCTCTCCCCTCCAGGGATTCCCAGCAGCTGGGATTCTTGTGGCAGGGAGTTCCACAGTTTAACTCTGTGCCTCGTGAATACATCCTTCCTTTGATCTCTCCTGAATGGTCCAACCTTCACCTTCACTGGATGACCACGAGTTCCGGTTACGAGGGAGGGAGGAGAACTTCTCTCTCTGTCCACTTTTCTCTGTGCCACGCACACTTTTCTAAACGTCTGCCATGTTGCATCCGTCTGGAGGTGTCCACAATGTCTTTTTGCATGGGTGAGCCTTGCTGAGAGCACCATCCTTGGCCCTGACCTGCCCTTTGCTTCTCCTTCTCAGTGGCACAGGACCCCCACCACCCAGGAGACGGACGGCTTCCAGGTGAAGAGGCCGGGGGACGTCAGCGTGCGCTGCACCCTCCTGCTCATGCTGGACTACCAGGTCAGTGGCAATGGAGGGGGGCGTTTCTGGGCACATGAGACCAGAGACCAGCACCCCAGGATCGGCGGTGGGCTTGAGGGAGCAGACCCGGCCAGCTTCGAGGCAAAGCCCCAAGCCAGCTTCTCACTTCCTGGCCCCTCTTTCTCCTGCAGCCCCCCCAGTTCAAGCTGGACCCCCGCCTCGCCCGCCTCTTGGGGATCCACACGCAGACGCGCTCAGCCATCATCCAAGCCCTCTGGCAGTACATCAAGACCAACAAGCTACAGGACTCTCACGACAAGGAGTACATCAACTGTGACAAGTATTTCCAGCAGGTGAGTCCGTTCTCCTCACCTCACCCCCTCCAGGAGGGGCTGGCAGGGCGGAAGCTGTGAGCCACCCAGCAGCTGCCCTAGAGAGCCTGGGGGGCGCTGGAAGGAGGGACCTAGACTGAGAAGGAATGAATGGGGGACTGGGTGGGAAAAGAGGTGTCTGCCAATGTTCCTGCATCTCCTGTCCCTCTGGAGTTCAAGGGAGAGTGGGGAGGCCCTTCTAGAGCATCTTGGGTTATCCCCAGGGGCCATGAATGGGACTGGGCAATGTCTGGTTTTCAACTTCATGATATATCACCAGCTAAACACTGCAGTATGCGGGTTTAGACCACAGAGCCTCTTGTGCTTGCCGATCAGAAGGTCGGTGGTTCAAATCCCCGCGACGGGGTGAGCTCCCATTGCTCAGTCCCTGCTCCTGCCAACCTAGCAGTTCGAAAGCACGTCAAAGTGCAAGTAGATAAATAGGTACCACTCCGGCAGGAAGGTAAACGGCGTTTCCGTGTGCTGCTCTGGTTTGCCAGAAGCAGCTTAGTCATGCTGGCCACAGGACCCGGAAGCTGGACGCCGGCTCCCTCGGCCAGTAAAGCGAGATGAGCGCCGCAACCCCAGAGTCGGCCACGACTGGACCTAATGGTCAGGGGTCCCTTTACCTTTACCTAAACACTACAGTATACATGTTTTCAACTGTCTATTTGCCAAACACAAATAAAGCTGTATTTGACGGACGAAAGGATATATGATTTTTGACATGACTGAGAATCGTAGAGTCAGGGACGGAGAACTTTAAAGCGTTAAGATGTGGATGTGGAAAATATGAAAACAATGAGAGGAGGCAGGACTGAAGATTTGGAGATATGTTTCAGAGGTCCAGACTATGGGGAGCCCGGAAAAATTAATAATTAAAATTTGGATTACATTTTGGTCTTTCTTTTTTATTTTAGTTTTTTGTTTTTAATTAGATTATGATGTGGACATGCTGATTGGCTGTCTTTATTGGAAAACCAATAAAAATGATTTAAAAAACACACACACTGCAGTATACAGTGGTACCTTGGTCCCCCAACAGCTTAGCCGATAAACAAATCAGCTCCTGAATGCTGCAAACCCAGAAGTAAGTGTACCGGTTTGCAAACATTTTTCGGAAGCCGAATGTCCGTTTCGGCTGTCAACATTGTTTCTGGGGCCAATCAGCCAATCAGAAGCCGTGCCTTGGTTTGCAAACATTTTGGAAGTCAAACGGACTTCCAGAACGGATTGAGTTCGAGAACCAAGGTGCCACTGTACTGATATATCACGATGTCTGAAATAAGGATGGAGCTATGCATAGGCCTTAGCTGGCCTCACGGTTTTTCCCAAATTGTGATTTTTGCATAACGCATCATGATTTGCAATATAAAGGCAGGCTGAAAACTGTGAAACCGATGTCACAACATGGACTTCAAGCCGGTTTGGGACGCAATCTCACCCGGCCCCAGCCAGGGAGTCCCAGGCCCTTCCTTGGAGCACATGAATTGTAGAATGGTAGACTTGGCAGGGATCCCCAGGGGTCCTCTAGTCCACCCCCAGCAATGCAGTGATCTCAGCCCAAGCATCCAGGACAGATGGCCAGCCAACCTCTGCTTAGAAACCTCCAAGGAAGGAGAGCCCACCTCCTTCTGAGGAAGTCTGCCCCATGGTCAAACAGCTCTTGTGGGGGGTGAGAGGGGGGCGTTGGACATGAATTGGAGCCCCTTCCCAGGCCTCCAACCTTAGCTGGGCTCCATGGGGCCACCATCTCCCATTGCTGGAAGCAGGCCTTCCGACTAGGGTGGCCCCTGTTCTGTTCTCTGCTCTTTTCTCTTCTGAGCCCTGAATAATAATAATAATAATAATAATAATAATAATAATAATAATAATTTATACCCCGCCCATCTGGCTGGGCTTCCCCAGCCATTCTACGTGGCTTCCAACAAAATATTAAAATACAGTAATGCATCAAACATTAAAAGCTTCCCTAAACAGGGCTGCCTTCAGATGTCTTCTAAAAGTCTGGTAGTTGTTCTTCTCTTTGACATCTGATGGGAGGGCGTTCCACAGGGCGGGCGCCACCACCGAGAAGGCCCTCTGCCTGGTTCCCTGTAACCTCACTTCTCGCAGGGAGGGAACCGCCAGAAGGCCCTCGGAGCTGGACCTCAGTGTCTGGGCAGAACGATGGGGGTGGAGACGCTCCTTCAGGTATACTGGACTGAGGCCGTTTACGGCTTTAAAGGTCAGTACCAACACTTTTAATTGTGCTCGGAAACGTACTGGGAGCCAACAAAGGGCTCCCTTGCAGGAGAAGCTCCTTTACCTTGGATCGTGGGTGGGTGGGGGGCACTGCAGCATCTGAGGGGGACAACTGAGGTTTGCTTTGAGGGCCACCCACCTCCTGACACCCAGCCGCTCCCCCCCCCCTTTATGGTTTCAGATCTTTGACTGCCCGCGGCTAAAGTTTTCCGAAATCCCACAGAGGCTGACGAACTTGTTGCTGCCGCCGGATCCTATTGTCATCAACCACATCATCAGGTCAGGCGGCCCCACCTTGTCCTCCAGCGGGGAGAAGCGTAAACTTGGAAGGGGTCCCAAGGGTCATCTAGTCCAACCCCCTGCAATCCTGGTGGGACGGCAGTTGGTGACTTGTGGTCCCCTGGCCTGCTGGGGTGGGGTGGGGGGGAAGCCCTGCCTCCTCTCCTACTGGGGTGCAGTAACTCCTTCAGGGGCCGTGGGCAGGACTCAGATTCCGTTGTGCCCCTTGTGGGCCTTCTCAGCAAGCACAGTGTGAAGGAAGGGTCCTGACTCTGGAAGGAGGAGATGTGAGACTCATGGATTGCTTACCCCTCAAGAGGTCTATATCAGTTCAGCAGGCAGGGGGATGAGCATGTGGGGTCCAGGGAGAGGGCGCTGAAGGCCAGATGAAGACCAACTCCTTGTGACCATCCTGGCCGGAGTCTCTTTTTGTGTTCAGTGAGAAGTAGCGGCAGTGTTGTGACCCCAAAGCCACAAGGAGCTGCATGCAGAAGGCCTCTGGGGCTGGGAGGGCCCCAAACCTCTGCCAGTGAAGGTAGACCATTCTGCACCAGTCAGAAAAGTAGGTGGTAATAATAATAATAATAATAATAATAATAATAATAATAATAATAATAATAATAATAATTTATTACTTATACCCCACCCATCTGGCCAGGCCTCCCCAGTCACTCTGGGCAGCTCCCAACAGAATATTAAAAACACAATAAAGCAGCAAACATTAAAAACCTCCCTAAACAGCGCTGCCTTCAGATGTCAGAGAGCTGTTTATTTCCTTGACATCTGATGGGTGGGCATTCTACAGGGCGGGTGCCACCACCGAGAAGGCCCTCCACCTGGTTCCCTGTGATTTCGCTTCTTGCATTGAGGGAACTGCCAGAAGGCCCTCAGAGCTGGACCTCAGCGTCCGGGTAGAATGATGGGGGTGGAGATGCTCCTTTAGGTATTCTGGAACAAGGCCGTTTAGGGCTTTCAAAGTCAGCACCAACACTTTGAATTGTGCTCGGAAACGTACTGGGAGCCAATGTAGGTCTTTCAAGACTGGTGTTATGTGGTCTCAGTGGCCGCCCCCAGTCACCAGTCTAGCTGCCACATTCTGGATTAGTTATAATTTCCAGGTCCCCTTCAAAGGTAGCCCCACGTAGAGTGCATGGCAGTCGTCCAAGTGGGAGATAACCAGAGCATGCACCACTCTGGCGAGACAGTCTGTGGGCAGGGAGGGTCTCATCCTGCGTACCAGGCTACAAGGTGCCTCCTTCTGGAAGCATCGCCTCACCTTGGCCAGAGGCCTGACACCTCCTGGCTCCCCTCCTAGTGTGGACCCCAATGACCAGAAGAAGACCGCCTGCTACGACATTGACGTGGAAGTGGAGGACCCCTTGAAGGGGCAGATGAGCAGCTTCCTCCTCTCGACAGCAAACCAGCAGGAGATCACAGCCCTAGACAACAAGGTGCTTAGGGGTTGGGGGTGTGGGGAGAAGAGGCACCTGGACTGGGGGCCTGGGGTGCTGGGGCACGTGGTGGTGGGCACTCAGTTAGGAGGCTCAGGGGCTTTCCGTTTGGAGGAACTATGGCCAGCTACAGCAGATGGGATCAGTACCACTGGGGGCATTGTAGAATTGTGGGTGTGGAAGGGACCCAAGGGTCATCTAGCTTGACCCCCTGACCCCACAGATAAATCACAGCATGGCTTTACAGCCGTGTGTCTGCAGTCTGGTGTGAAGACTGAAGGGCTCCCTTTGGGGACCGGGTGCAAATCCTTGCTCCCACGAGGAGAAACGAGCCTCTTGTTTTCCTTCCCTGCTCAGATTCACGAGACAATCGAGTCCATCAACCAGCTGAAGATACAGAGGGATTTTATGCTCAGCTTTTCCAAAGACCCCAAAGGGTACATCCAAGATCTCCTCCGATCCCAGAGCAGGGATCTCAAGGTGGGTCTATTGTGGGGGGGGGGGCATTCCTAAGTGCACAAAGGGGCAGATGGGGCTCCTGAAATGGGGTCTTATTGGGAGGGTGAGAAGACTGTGTCTGTGTCTGTTTTTACACTGCAAAAGTATCCCACGGGGGCCTTGCTCCCAGTGGCTGTTCAGAAGGATGGATTGGAACCTATGGCTCACTAGCCAGCGAAATGGCAGCATAGAGCGGAGTCTAAAAGGTCTGGTGGCAGAGCGTAGCCATGGTAGCTGCCTCCTCCTCCAGCCCTCTTGAAAAGCTGTCCAAGTTCGTGGACACCACTGCATCCAGTGGGAGGGGGTTCCACAGTCTGCACTGTATGAAGGAGGACTTCTTTTCCCCTGCCCTGAACCTCCAAGCAATTGGCTTCGTTGAATGTCCACAAGTTCCAGAGTTAGGAGAGAGGGAGGAAAACTCCCTCGCTTGTTGTTTTCTCCATGCCACGCACAATCTCATCAGCGCCTATCATGTTGGTGCTAGTCAGGCAATGGCAACGCCTTTGTTGGAACCAACCCAAACGCCCCATGATGGACTTCTCCAACTCACCCTGGGGGGGCTTCCAGTACATGCTGTCTGCAAACAGCCCTTTGTGCAGAATGTGGCAGAAGGCCTAGAGCTGGTGGGGCTACTCTGACGCCACGTTGTCCCCTCTGCATGGCAGGTGATGACCGACGTGGTGGGGAATCCCGAGGAGGAGCGGAGGGCAGAGTTTTACCACGAGCCGTGGTCCCAGGAGGCCGTGAGCAGGTACTTCTACTGCAAGGTAAGAGAATAGAATTTATTATTTATACCCCGCCCATCTGGCTGGGTTTCCCCAGCCACTATGGGCAGCTTCCAACAGAGTATTAAAATACAGTGGTCTGATAAACATTAAAAGCTTCCCTGAACAGGGCTGCCTTCAGATGTCTTCTAAAAGTCTGGTAGTTGTTCTTCTCTTTGACATCTGGTGGGAGGGCGTTCCACAGGGCGGGCGCCACCACCAAGAAGGCCCTCTGCCTGGTTCCCTGTAACTTGGCTTCTCACAGTGAGGGAACTGCCAGAAGGCCCTCAGAGCTGGAGCTCAGAGTCCAGGCAGAATGATGGGGGTGAAGACGCTCCTTCAGGTCTACTGGGCTGAGGCCGTTTAGGGCTTTCAAGGTCAGCACCAACACTTAATTGCGCTTGGAAACGTACTGGGAGCCAATGTAGGTCTTTCAAGCCTGGTGTTATGTGGTCTCAGCGGCCGCTCCCAGTCACCAGTCTGGCTGCTGTATTCTGGATTAGTTGTAGTTTCTGGGTCACCTTCAAAGGTAGCCCCACGAAGAGCGCATTGCAGTAGTCCAAGCAGGAGATAACCAGAGCATGCACCACTCTGGCGAGACAGACCACAGGCAGGGAGGGTCTCATCCTGCGTACCAGATGGAGCTGATAAACAGCCGCCCTGGACACAGACTTGACCTGCGCCTCCATGGACAGCTGTTAGTCTAGAATGACTCCCAGGTTGCGCACCTGGTCCTTCAGGGGCACAGTTACCCCATTCAGGGCCAGGGAGTCCCCCACACCAGCCCGCCCCCTGTCCCCAAAAACAGTACAAAAACAGAGGACAAAGCTTGAGGCAGGCTGGGCTGGGCTGGCAGGCTGAAGCTCCCTTCCATCGCCCCCCAACTCTCTCCTTTTGCCCTTTCAGATCCAGCAGCGTCGTCAGGAGTTGGAGCAGTCTCTGGGGGTGCGTAACACCTAAGCGGGGGTCCCCGGCCTCGCTGGCTGGCCCCTGAGCCAGCGGACTGACCCGTGTCCCCGTGCCCCCCCCATCCCACAGAGGGTGGGCCTCCTTCACAACTGGCCAAGGGGGCAGGTCTGACTCGCACCGCCACCAGCGCCACCAGTCTCTGGCCAGCTTTCAAGTGTGTTTTGCCCCACCGACCTCCTCCTCTTCGTCCTCCTGCGGCTGCTGAGACCCTCCCAGGCCGGAAGGTGGCGAGGTCTCCCCTCACGTCACTCACACCAATCATCGGAGGCTGGAGAATGAAGGACACCCCCTCCCCAAGCACACAGGGCCCCTCCTGGACAGACTTGGAAGGGGAGGAGGAGCCCAATGGATTGGTCAGATGCTCCTAAATCTCCCTCTGTGTGTCTCCCCCCTCCCTCCCTCCAGGGGTGCCAACTTGAACAAAATATTGGGGGACCCAACTAAGCCCCACCTCACATCATTGATCACAAGTCATGGCACACTATTTGAAGGGCAATGGCCATTAACCTTGGGGGGCTCTGGCCCCCTCAAATATTTTATTGGAGCCCCAAAGGGACCTTGGCCTCTAGGACAGTGTTTCCCAACCTTTTTTGGGCAAAGGCACACTTGTTTCATGAAAAAAATCTCGAGGCACACCACCATTACAGCCCCGTGACGTCAGCGCGCAGCGTCATGCCGGGAGGGACGCACGAAAGTGTAAGTTTCAATTTTTTCCCCTCCCCCTTGCCTTCCTTCTGTGCCAACCGCCAAAAAGCCAAGAAAAAAGCCAAGACTTTAGGGCAGCAGGTCGACACAGAAGAAGCTCCTACCTAAGGACAGGTGCGACGGCCGTGTCCTCTTCTGCCACACTTGGCAGCCCTGCCTCACGGTCGTGACTCCCACCCTGATTTCTCCCCGCAGGTCGAGCGGCACAGGCAGCCCAATGTGTCCAGCCCAGACACAAGCCCCGCTTCCCCACTCTAGATCCTGAATGCGACCAAGTGCTCTGGACTCCTGAGCAGGGTGGGAAAGAGGACTCGCATCTGGTAGCCTCCGGGCTCCTCGCCTGCTCGAGGGATGGCATTGCAGGCAAGCTGCCGGCCGTCGCCATCGCCGCCCCCTCATGCGAGTGGACCTGCCCGGAGTGGTGGGCCGGGGGAGGCTCGCTCTCTGTGGGGATGTGGCCCGCACGCGCGGCCCCGCTTCCTCCTGCCCAGGGCTGAGCTCCTTACCCGCGATCTCGGTCTCGCGCACGCGGATCCCACTTATTCTGAAGCTCGCGCCACTAGCCGGGGCTCTCACACCGTGCCAGGGCGAGGTGGCGCGGCCCACTAACGTCATCGCGGCTCGCCGCCGCCCTCGACTTCCCTGTTCCCTCCCCTCCCTCGGGTCACCGTGGTTACCGAGGACCGCAAGCTGCTCAGGCGAGCGTGGGACATTAAGTGGGAGAAGGAAAATTAAAATTAAAACTCGCCTGAAGGCCGCCTCTCCGGATATCTTTCGAATTTTTTAATTTTTCCCGCGGCACACCAGGCAACGTCTCGCGGCACACTAGTGTGCCGCGGAACACCGGTTGGGAAACACTGCTCTAGGAGTCGGCTCCAATGCCTGCCGGCCTCCTTCCTTCCTTCCTTCCTTCCTCCCTCCCTCCCTTCCTTCTGTTCTCTCTCTCTCTCTCTCTCTCTCTCTCTCTCTCTCTCTCTCATGGTGCCCTCCAGGCATTCTGCCTTCATGCCCCTTTGCAAGGCCATTTGTGGCCACATGAGCAGCAAATCCCCCCCTTCACTAAATCTCTGGAGGGTCTGGGGGCTGCAGTGCTCACCTGATGGGCTATGGAGTGGAGCCCCTTGCAAATCTGCCTGTCTCCAGGCTGCCAGCTGTGTCACCCATGTTCCCTCCCTGCCCTCTTCCTCTGCCAAGGCCAAAGGCCCCCCCTCTGTTGACAAGCCCTGTCCCGCCGCCCTGACTTTCCTATCTATCTCTGCAGGAGTGTGGGGTGTGGTGGGCACTGCCAGTTGCCAACAGAGCCCCCCCCCACTGCTAAGATGGAGATGGAGACCCACCCCCTGGCCAGCCCCACAGGCTGTCTGCATTCCTGTCTGCCCCCTGGCAGGCTCAGACCCAAGGCAGCCGCTGGAGAGGGTCTTGCTCTCTGCCTCTTCCTGCTGTCGGTGGGACCCCTTAGAGAGTGTGAGGAGGAGCCCTGCGGTGGCAAAAGGCTCCCCTTCTCATGAGAACAGGATGCTGGGCTGTAGGCCATTGGCCTGATCCTGCACGCTCTCCTTATGTTCTCATGCTCTTCGCTAGCCAGGCCTCCGGACAGATTTAATCAAAGCCAAAAGGGACAGAGAGAGAGAGAGATTTAGCCAAAGGTGGTGGACTCTCCTCCCTCAGAGGTCTTTAAACAGAGGTCGGACAGCCATCTGTCAGGAATCCATTGGCTGCGATTCCTGCCTTGCAGGGGTTGGTCTAGATGCCCGCTTGAGGTCCCTTCCAACCCTGTGATTCAGTGATAAGAGGCCAAATCCTGGGTTCCGCTTTGCTCTGCCCCTCTGCACTGCACTTGCAAACTCCTGGTGCCAAACTTCTGGGGGACTTTGGCAGGAGGCTGCCAGGGCCACCCCCCCCCCCAGACTATGCAAGGATTATTCTTCTCCTGCCAGCGCAGCAGCAGCCACTTTCAGACGGAGACCACGCCTGGCTCTTGTCTGCAGCAGCTGCCCCTCTATCTTGGCGTCCCCCAAATGCAACAGCCCAGCCTGTAGATTTCATCACTCTGTGGGCTTCTCATGTTTCCAGTCTGTCTAGGCTGGGGCATTTTATTTTGGGCTTGAGCCCCTGCCCAGCCGCTCTGGGGTCTGCCAAGGTGGGTGTGTTGTGGCTGGCGAGGGGCCCTGGGAGTCTCGGCTGGTGCCAGTCCTGGCTTGGTCCTGATCCTGCCCTTTTGCCAGGATGTGCCTGCTCCAAGCAAACCTGCCGGGACTGACCCTCACCTGCCATGTGCTGAGCCCAGCGTCCAAATGCCCCCAACCCCCCAGTCTGGCCACCATGGGCTCTCCTTCTTTGGGGGTCTTTAAACAGACATTGGGTGGCAGTCTGTCAAAGATGCTTTGGTTGTGGTGCCTGCATCTCATGGGGTTGGGCTAGATGACTTTTGGGGTCTCTACAAGGATAAGACAGCAATTCTCAGGCTGAGGGGGGAGCAGGGGCTCGTTCTCTGCAGAAGAGACAAAAGGGGTGCTGTCCTGTGGAGTGGGGGGCGCAAACCCCCCCTCTTGCTTTTTCGTGCCAGCCCCACTTCAGAGGGGGGCAGCCAGATGACAATGCAGATACTGTTTCTGGGGTGCAGGTTTGTGTTTTTTCCTATTTTCACCACGGCTCTATTGTTCTCCCCTTCCAGCGTCTTGTTTTCACACGTCCTCCTTTGGGGCACCCACAAACCCTCCCTTGCACCCAGGTCCACCTGGTCACCCATCTTTGGGGGTGGGGGGTGGAGAGCAAGACCCAAACTCCCCCCTCCCTCCTTTCCCCTCCTCCTCCTCCTCTTCCTCCATGGCTGCCGTGTCTTTGTCGTTCGGTGCTGAGTGATTCGTAGCGAAGCTTTTAAATAATAAAGATTTTGTTCCTTTGTATCAACTGCGCATGATTTGTGGGTTTCAGCACCGGCGTCTCAGAGAGAGAACTGCAGCCTTTGCAAGTGTAGCAGGAACACACACACACCCCACAAACTACACAAGAACCATTTTGGTTCATCAACCCGGATGGAAATGGAATGGAGGCAGGTGCAAAATTCTCTGCTTAGGTGACAAGAGGGAACAAAACGGGCAGAGGTCTCCTGCATTGCAAGGGGTTGGACTGGATGACCTTTGGGGTCCCTTGGGGTGCTAGGATTCTGTGAGGTACGATGGAGTGGTGCCAATGCTTTATTTATCTTTTAAGACGCTTCCCCTTCTGCCAAGCTTGCTAGGCGTCCATCCCACCTCTGTGCCGTGATCTACTGTGGGCCATCAACTGACCCTCCATGCTCAGCCATGCGTCGCGCTCAGTCCTGTGGCTCAGCCATGCTTCTGTCACATGAGGCATGGCCAGTCTCCTCTGTGGTGCTTCTGGCTGAATCAGCTTCCAGGGTCTGAGGCCAGAGGATATTAAAAACCCCACTCTGTTTTCTATCCATGCAGCCTGACCCTGCTCAAATGCTCAGAGGTGCTCAGGCCTTTAGGACAGCAAATGGCTTTGCACTGAGGGTGGGGAAGAAGAACCCCCCCTCCTCTTCAGAGCAAAGACCTGTCAGGCTGTGAGCACCAATGCTGCCCACAAGAATTGGTCTGAGGCCGAAAGAGGGAGCGCCCCCCCCAATGTCCCCTGGCCTCTAGGGTGGGGTGCCTGGGGCTCAGAGGCCTCACCTGCCCGGCTTGCCATGTTAGCCATTAATCACCTTTGGCTTCTCTCACCTGTCAGGTGGTTTTAGGAGTGGCTCCCTTTAAATTACTTCAAGGTAGAAAGAAAACATTAAATGCCACATTTTTAAGAATTGCTGTCATCGCAAAACAGCTTTTAAAAAAAGACGTTTTGGTTGTGAAGGATCTGAAACCAGTGTGTTGTTTGGATCTTAGCTGGGATTCCTGCATTGCAGGGGGCTGGACTAGATGACCGCTGGGGGATCCCTTCAGGCCCTCCAATTCTGTGTTTTTGAAGAGGATCTGGACTTCCCTCTCTTTGCAGGATTGCTCCAAGGCCACTTTGGTGGCTGCCCATTTCCTTGCAAGACAGGCCAGGGCTCCACTATGAACCCTGAAGTCTGTTGCTTCATTATAGGACGATTATTTCAGCCTTGAGCAAGAGTACCTCCTTTTTCACTCTGAACTCCTACGGCAAGATCCAGGTGAGGCTGTCTTGGCTGCCATAAGCAAGTACAGTCAAACCTGGGTTGTCAAACGTAATCCGTTCTGCTTCCGAAATGTTCGACAACCGAATCACGGCTTGGATTGGTTGCAGAAGCTTCCTGCACTAAGTGGAAGCCATGTCAGACATTTGGCTTCCGAAAAACGTTCAAAAACTGGAGCATTTACTTCTGGGTTTTTAGCGTTTGCAAGCCAAAACGTTCCAAAACGGAGGTTTGACTGTCAATGCAAAAGCTTCTTGGGCTGTTGCTTTCTCTCTTGCAATGTTCCTGCCCAGAGAGTGAATCCCACTGTGTCCCTTTCCAGCAAGTCTTTAGTCTGCAAGCACAGAACCTCTAAAACCCCAGCAGAGAGCCTGTTGGTATAACAGAACCACCAAAAGCCCAGAAGGCAAACAGCATTTATTGTGTGGCATGAGCATCCCTGGGCAAGAGTCTGGTCACCAGGTGGTCACCTGGAGACCCCGAGAGGCAGGGCAGGGAGAGGGAAGAGCAGACCAGGACATCGCCCAGGAACCAGGTGCCTGAAGAAAATCCCGGCAGAATTTGAGGTCGGCAAATACACAGATGGTCGGAGGCCCCAGCACCCTCTCTCCTTCCTCGCTGGGTCCCCATTTCCACAAAACCACCACTGGGTGGTGGTTCAAGCCTGAAAGAAGGGCATCCTGTCCGCCAGGGAATCCCAGTGCCATCCTCCCCCTTGGGCTCTTGTTCACCCATTTTG